CGGGCAGTACACCCAGTCCTTCCCCTGGGGTCAGTACTTCTGGGCACTTGCAGGTGTCTTAGATCAGGTGCTTTAAGAACTTGAAGATTGGGGACCAGGAAGTCTGAGAGAGCCATGAGGACAGACCTGTAGGTGTAGGCATGATGTGTGAAGGTCTTTACGCCACATGCTCATGTTCCCAGAGAACAGCCAAGGGGACAGAATGATTTGGCCACTTAACCAGTTGGCTTTGGCCACCGACACCACTCGCCCCAGGGCTGGAACAATGAATGCATGCAGGAGTAGCCGTGGTGGCAGGGACGGAGGCCATGCGTGAGCCCGGCAGCATGAACTCCAATTCACCGGGTCCAGCCACCTCTGCACTGTTGTCAAATTGTCCAGCAAAAAGAGACCCACGCTGAAGCCCCAATGTAACAGAGTTCTCAAGGAGACCAATCACTCAATGACAGGGGACAGCACTAGCCTCACGTCCCTGCTGGAAGGAGCTGCGATTCATCCTGACTGTGATCAACACACAGCTGGAGATGAGCTTGCCTTTTCTGCTCTCAGGGCTTCGGGCAACACCATCGTTGGCTTGGACACTGTCCCGTGTTAGCAACTTGCATGCAGACAAGTCTCCTACTAAACTTTTTTAAAAATTTTTATTGAGTTGAGAGAGAGAGATTTGTCATTCCACTTATTTATTCATTCCTTGGTTGACTCTCATATGTGCCCCGACCAGGTATCGAGCCTGCAACCTTAATGTACCAGGACAACGTTCTAGCAACTGAGCCATGCAGCCAGGGTCTATTGAAGATGTATAGACCATGAGCTAAATGCCAGGCTCTGAGTAGCGCCTGAGGATGCAGAGACATCTGAGGTCATTCAGTCATTTAATAGCTATGATGGGTTTCTTTTCTTCTTGGTACAGGAGAATAGAACTGGTGGCATTAAAACCATTTCATGGGTTAATAAGCAAACAGTGAGTTCAAGTAGCTTTCTAATTCAGTGGCTAATTTGGGCCTGGAAACCACAACTGTTCATTTCCTTTGATGGTCTGGCTCAAAAGAAAATGTTTTCATTCCACGTTGACCAAATAAGGCCTCCTGGTAGGTAGCAACGTAAAGGGTGCTTGATGATATTAAAAAGCAAAAAATAAAATGGAATGAAATGCAGCTTGAATTTCAGCATTCTACCTTGAGGTTGTGAACGTCACCCTCCCATCCTGGGTGAGTCATGGCTCGAGAGTCGCGCGTCTCCCATCTCCCCCACGGGCCCCTCCCATCTCCCCCACGGGCCCCTGTGAAGCCGCGAAGTCCAGGCAAACGTTGCTGGAAGAGTGAGGCAACATTCTGTGGCAGTCCAGAGAAGCCCTCTGCTCTCCGAAACGGATACATCGATGAAGACTTCCTTTTACTCGGGCCTCCAACCCCTGCAGCGGCCCCTTGTGTGAGATGCACACATTTCCCTCCCGTGTTGTGGTAACTCTCCACCCTGTTTCCCACTGGAACCGGGGCTTGTGGCCAGGAACAATGAATGGCAGCAGCCACAAGAGGACAGGACAGAAACGAGGCGGGTTCACCCTAGCCACTCCTTCAGCCCCAACATCCGCATTTCCCAAGGGACAGGCCTATTTTAGTCACATTGGGGAAACTCCTTGGCAATGGTTAAAATCGTCCTAGAAAAGCCCAGGGAGCAAGGAAAGGACTGGGTGGGGGGACCTGGGGAAATGCCAAGATCAAGGCGCAGGAGAAGCTGTACTGGGACCTCTAAGCTTTGCACAGAACAAGCGCTTGGGCAGCGGTGGGGTTGGAAGGCGGGCGATCCCAGCGGGGCTCGTCCGCACGCTCACGTGCCTACAGCTCTTAGATGAGACTGCATGCAATCTACACCACAGGTCAGGAAACACAGAAAAGCTTTGCGAAAGTTTTTCTTCATATAATGCATGTGAAGTTATGGATAAATGGACATTCCATTTATCTCCTCGGGGGGCCCTAAGGAGAACTGGCTCAGCATGAACAAGGGAGAGGCAACTGGAGGAGGGAGAAGGGGGAGAAGGGCCCCGAGAAAGCGGCATCCTGGAATCCAAAAGATGAAGAGTTTACAGACGGAGAAAAGGCACCATTCCGCACGCTGAAGGATCAAAGATCAAATAAGGTAACAACTTAAAGAAAAAAAAAGGTGCGTGTGTGTTACTGCTGACCTCCCAAGAGCACGCATTAGGGTTGGGACGGGCTCCAGGCTGCAGGAGTCCAAGGCGTGGAAAGGCAGTGAGCTAAGTGGAAAGAGTGAGCTCGGCCAACTCTTGCACAAGGTTCAGGCAGTGTGAGCGGAGTGGGCTGGGCTCCTAGCGCCGCAGGACCTCAGTGGGCTGAGAGCTCCTGTTTATTGGGTGCCTGCTGGCATCCCATATATGTGTGCATGTCACAGATTCCCGCATGCGAGCTTCACGCAGCTCTGTGAGATGAGTGGCGGCATATTCATCTTGCTAATGAAGAACATGCGGCTCGAAGAAGTGACTTCTTTGCAAAGTAAGCAAGAGTGAGAACACAAGTCTATTTTCAGAGTTGTTCTTTCTGTGACAGTCACACGTCTGGTAGAGTCAGGGGAAGGTTAACTCGCTGTTATTTTTAAAGGGGGTGGGGGCATGCAGTATAAGTATGTTCATATAGGGAAAGGAATAAAATCTTCCCAATCCCAATAGCAAGTGTCCCACTCTCTGCCAGATTCTATATTCCCAGATCACTCTCTCTCTCTTTTTTTTAATTTATTGATTTTTAGAGAGAGAAAGAGAAACATCAATTTGTTGTTCCACTTTATTTATGTGTACATTGGTTGATCCTTGTATGTGCCCTGACTGGGGATTGAACCTGCAACCTCAGCTTATCGGGGTGATGCTCTAACCCACTGAGCCACCAGCCCCCTGCCCAGCACAGGGGCCTGAGAAGACAGAGGGATGAGAGTGGGGTGGGGTAGCGGGAATCACATGACCTGGGCCAGCTCATGTTGCTTTGTCTGCAGGGCAGATAAAGTTCTGAGAAGCACACTCTTTTCCACAGCACGTTGTGAGCAAGGTTGGTTTTGTTTATGAAAATGTCAGTAAAGGACTCTGGAAGCCTGGGCACTCCTGCCCCGGCCATTTTCCACAGCGCTGTTCTTATCTCCTCCCCCCCAATGCAGGTGGCATTGACGTTATGTGACTCTGGTTACCTATCCGCCGATGAGGTTCTGAGGAGCGTAATGGGGCCCTACGGCACCCAAGGACACCCCATTCTTCTCAAAAAAGGAACTTTTCAACAAAAGAAAAACGATCTAGCCCATTCCTCTGCTGAATGATGACACATTCTATGAGGATTGCTACATTTCGGTATTTCCCCAAGGCCCTCACCCTATGACCGCCTTCACCCCCTTTACACCCCGGGAGGTAGACTTGGCTGAGCTAAACCCACATGCCAGGCAAGAAACCAAAATGCAGCGCAGTTAGGAAACCTCTCAGATCCCCAATAACTAGAGACCAAGCCCTGCCACTGACCCCAGCCCAGGGCTCTTTCCTTCAATCTTCAAACCTGAATGCACATGAACTTTCCCAGGGCTGCGGGGGGTGGGGCGGCACGGTGCGGGGAGAGGGAGAGGGGACATACGCTGAGTATCGGATTGGGTGCCAGGCCACTGAGCTAGCTGCTTGATACAAACCAGTTCACTTAGGTCTCACACACCTACTCTGACTTAACTCAAACTAACCACTTTAATTAGATAAAAATAATCAGTTTGCAAAAAGGAAAACCGTAGTTAGTAAAGTAAAGTAATTTATTCAAGATCAGAAATTAAGGTGATAGTAAGGGAGGGTCAGGCCTGGAATTAGCTCTTCCTGGTCCGGGATGCTGGATCCACTCTTGGGAATTGGACAGTCTGGGCTGGCTCCCACCTCAGTGCGTTCTGGGTAGAAGTGGATCTGCAAAGGGTTCGTCCCCCCTGCCTGCCCTCCCCCTCCCCCCCGCAGGACAAAGGCAGTTTCAATGACATCATGGATGTGAAAGCCACTTGACTCCAGAAGGGCACAACACACCTGCTCCTTGGAGGGAGGGGGGCAGAAACGAGGCCATTTGTCTCTTCAGTGATGCCATCACTTAATGACTTCATGCCCATCCCTGATCACTAACCCTGAGATCCGCTCCTTTGGATTCACCCTGCAAACGTGGAGGACGTACGATCACCTTCCTTCCCAGCACCTTGTTCATCTGAAGCCTCTTCACCGTTGAACAACCTCGTGGGGAAATCAACGAAGGGCACGCAAGCCTGCTCATTCAGGGTCCTGCCTGGATGCCTGCAGGCTTGGAGGCAAGCTCTCGACCTGGGGACCTGGCACAGCTGTGTCCTGCCTCTGACCAGCCGTTTGGTCCCAGGCAAATGGACCTCCGTTCCTTATCTCTCAGATGGAGATTTTGGGAGTAAATGTGCTTCCTTCCCTCCTTTATTGCAGGAAAGATAAAATGACGGACTATACCGGCATGTAGCACTACCTTGTACCAAATCTGGATTTTAATCCCAACTGCCTCACTTGCTAGCTGTGCGACGTTGGGCAAATCCCTTAGTGTTTCCGATCCTAGGTTTCTCTCCGGGGAAAATGGCAAGGACTGTTGGGAGAATATTGCAGCTTGCTTCCGTATCAGGTGGATCCATCTTGGCCTTCCTTCAAGATGGTTTATTACTGAAGTACCAAAATGTCTTTTGCAAACGGCAGTTTCTGCTCTCCAGAGTCCTCAGCTCAGACCTAGGCTGTTTGATTACATAGCCGCCGTTTTTATTATGAACCCTAACTTCTCCAGCAAAAAAAAAAAAATATCTTGAACTGGTCATGAGCAAAGTGACGTTTTCTGACCAGTAAGCAGGTGGCGATCCCATTTCCATCCCCAGACTTGACCTCCTCCTGCCGAGGGAGGGGGTGAGGGGGAGGGGACGGTCGGCGAGGCCTGATGTCACACAGCCCTACATAAGGGCCTCCTTTAGGCTCCTGCAGGCGGATTGGAAGCAGCTGGAGGAATGAGTTAGATCCTGGCTGTGGGATTTTTTTTTTTTTTAAGTCAGACACAGACACAGCTGTTGAGCAAAATGCAAACTGCACAAAAAAGCCCAAGCCTCAGACCCTTCAAACAGAGGAAGAGCTTAGGTAAAGTGCTCGGGTAGCGTCTGGGTCACCAGACAGAGAGGGGAGAGGGTACAGACTGCTCTTGCTATTTACTTACTCTTTTGTACTTGAAATGTTCACAGCAACCAGACAAGAGCAAGTTGCTGGAATCCGGGCAAAGTTCCCAAACAAGATCCCGGTAAGACTCCATTGTGCTTTTTGAAAAGGGTGTACTGCTCTGTTCTTGAAAACTAAACAAGAACAAAACCCCACTCTCTCTCCCTGCTGTATGATTCTAAGAGACTGAGACCTCTCAGTCACATTCTCAGGAGCTGAAACTCTCAACAGGTGGTAGTGGAACGTTACTCCAAGGAGAAGTCCCTCCCTCTGCTGGACAAGACCAAGTTCCTGGTCCCTCAGGAGCTGACCATGACCCAGTTCCTCAGCATCATCCGGTAGGTGACAAGGACACGTGAAGGGATTGGGGGGAGGGGGTGTATCCCAGGACTTTTTTTTTTTTTCCTGTTCGCTTTGTTAGTTTAGCTTTGAGGGTGGGGTTTTCCAGGAGAACAGAGGGAAAAGGTCTCCTCTGGGACTCACCTTTCAGATTCTGTAGCGACCAGAAAAGATGTTCTGTGAGTTCATCTATTTTAAACAGGTGGGGGAAACCCCTCAGATAACAAATCTAAGGAGAGTGAGAGCTGCCCATGTTTCTAAGAATTTTCTAAAATTGTCTTGACTGTGAACTAGTCCCGAGAATCTTTTCTTCCTGAGAGTGTGGGACACCCTGTCAGTTTTCCCAGAAACGCACAGCAGCTCTGCAGGGCATGGGCACCCGGGGAGTGGGGACCGCTTCAAAAGGTAAAGGCACCCTTCACTGCCCAGAGAAGAGGGACAAGGGTGGTGTCCCCAAAACACACCCCTCCCCGGGACAGGGCACAGCAGAGAAAATGTAGCTACTTCTAAAGCTTAAAAAGGTTAAGTGGTATCTTCAGACCCAGGCCTTCCATGCAAATAACGGGAGGTGACGTGCATGTGACCCCGTGAGTAATTCTTCACAGGCCAGCGGTCTGGAGAGGCCAACCCTTGGAAGCCCGGGTAGCTGTTGCAGCTTGTGTTTTCAAGACTTCATCAGGAATAGACATGCGTTTGTTTTCATGATTTATTTGGGAGCATCTTGACCCTGCCTCTCAGAGCGAGGCAAAGCCAGGAGCAGCTGGAGGTGCCGACGCTGGGAAGGGCGCTTCCTTCAGGGCCAAGGGCAGCACAGGCACCCCCAGCTGCACCCACTCCCACTGCAGCAGTTCTTTGGCACCCAAATTCGGCCATGCAGTTGTCAGAGCGAAAACCTTTCAGTTATGCCGGGAGCGGTGGCCTGGTTATAAAATTAATCGGGCCCCAGCCACCAGCCTCCCACTGGTGCACAGACCAGGCTCATAGGCAAGGTCAAAGCTCGGAGGCTGGAGTGGGCGGGCTGGGCCTGACTCACGGAGCAGAGCAGGCAGGCGTGGGCTTCAGGTGAGGCTGAGCCTTTACCTGTGTATCTGCCATCGCGTGCTGTTCTCTACTCTGGGATGAATCAAAACTCAGGTTGACTCTGACCTGTAAAGCGCGACCAGTTGAACTTTGTAGCTTCCGTGTCTCCTTGATGTGGAGGGAGAAAGGGCAGAGGGAGGAAGGGGCACTGGGAGGCAGAAGGCCCCTTCCAAAGGTCATTCAAGCCTGTTTAACCTGAGATGCAGGAAGAGATTGGGATCCCCATGTATCTCTGGGGAAATTCCTTCAACCTCAGGGCAAAGAGGGGCTCATTTACATTGCATTTTTGTGTTGGTATGTCTCAGCTAAGAATGGGAAGGCTTCCCCCTTGTGTCCCAAGTAGGAGGCCTTGCGGCAGCTGAATCTCCAAGGAAGGCGTGCGGAGCAATTCATTCTTCCTGAGCGTCACAATACTGCGGATTCCCGGGCCCCTCCCCAGGTTTACTACACCAAAACCTGTGGGTGGGGCCCAGGAATGTGCATTTCAACAGGCCTCTCCTGGGGGGTGCTCAAGTTTGAGGATGACAAGCTGGGGGGCGAGGGACGGTGCATCTTGAATCGGTTTGTCTGCACCCGCCAAGGGAGGTAAGGCCGGTCACTGGGTTAACCTTCCCTCCGGCCCAGGAGCCGCATGGTCCTCGGGGCCACCGAAGCCTTCTACTTGCTGGTGAACAACAAGAGCGCAGTCAGCATGAGCGTGACCATGGCGGAGATCTACCGGGACTACAGGGACGAGGACGGCTTCCTGTACATGACCTACACCTCCCAGGAGATGTTCGGCGGCGCCGGGGCCCCCGGTCCCGGGCATGGAGCAGCCTGGGGGGCGCACCCCGCCGTCCTCTGCCGCTCGGCCCGGGCCTGGCCATCTCACCCAGGGGCCGACGCCGGCAGGGCCGACCAGCCCCCTCGTTTGCACGATGGACAGACCGACAGCCCGGCCTCCCGGAGGGAGCAGGGCCCACCTGACCGGAAGTTCCAGCCTCACTAAAGTTCTAGAATACCGCGGAGGCTCCTGGGAGTTCTGTAGTTAATGAGTCTTTTCTGGGTAGCAGGTGGTTACACGTGTGGGGGTTTTGCACGATGCTGGTGTCTTCCGTGGTGCGGGCCGCAGGCCCTGGGGTTTGGTGTCATCCGCGTGTCCAGAGTCCCACGAGCTTCGTCGTGAAGATCTGGGCCTGCGGGAGGGTCTGGAACCGAGGAGCCAGCGTGGGGGTGGGCGTGGGGGTGGGGTCCTAATCTGAATCATTACAGAAATTGTTATATCCCCCAGCACCCCTTCGAGCTGGTCATTCCCCTTATATTCTTTTGTCTGTTTGTGTCACACAGCTTTATGTCAAAGTTGTAACTTTTCAATATAACGAATTGAACCCATTTGAGTGTTTACTGTGTGCCAGGCACTCGCCTAATCACTCCACATCCTCAACACCCCGTCACAACTCTCGGTGGTGACTTCTCGTTTTATAATGAGGAAGCCGAGGCCTAGGAGGTCAGACCCATTGTCCGCGTCACACCACGCAGCCTGCGGAGACCGGAGGCCACGCGCCTCTGCCAGGCGCCCGGTGTCAGCTGAGCTCCTCCGCAGGCTGAGCGGGGCTCAGCTTGACCCGGACGCACTCACATGGCCCACAGGGGAGGCAGGGCAGGTGGCTCGGCGAGTGCAGTCGCGGTGGGGCCTCGGGGTTGGCATCGGCGGCACAGACGCAAATAGGCATGGCCCTGGCGACCGCGCCAGCGCCGGCCCTCCTCCCAGCCTCCCCTATTGCCTCGGTCTTCCTTGAACCCCAGTATCGAAGGCTGCCATCTCACTGCAAGTGCAGGGACCCTGCCCTGCATGGTCGCTGGGCGAGCTGTCAGGTTCCATTTGGTGTCCAACATCCTTCCTGAAGTAGCTCCCCTGCTACATCCACCTCTGGCTCGAGACAAAAGGCTCCAGCAGCCTTGGTAGCGATGGGCAGCGTTCACTTTTCTACGCACCTAGGACCAACCAGCCAAAACTCGTTGCGTCAAATCCCCACGACTTCATTATGCTCATGGAGTCTTCGGGTAAGGATTTTAAAGTCCATGCATGTGCGCGCACACAAATACATAATGCCTACAGCGGGTCTCTGCGCCGCAGTACAGGGCTCAGCCTGGAAGAACTGAAAGGCTGGGAGTGACTTGAACAGCTGGGAGCTGAAATCATCTGAAGGCTCCTTAATGCTCTTGTCTGCCTCCGGCTGGGATGACGCATGGCTCCTCAGCTGCAACCGTGGACTGGAGTGGTTCCATGTGGCCTCTCTCCGCAGGGGTTCCAGGAGGGAGCCCCTCAGAAGGAGCAGCTGGAGAGCACGTGATCCAAGAGGCCAAGACCGAAGCTGACCTGTGTGACAGTGATGAATTTCAATCGATTTTGCTGCAGATTTCTTGCTTTGTTTTCTTAGCCTCTACTTGGGTAGTTAGAATTAATTGGCAATCTGTACCTTGGTAAATTAGGACCACTTTTCTTTTAGGCTATTCCTCATTTCTTATTGATTTTTACAAGTCTGTGCAATTCAGTAATTAACTCCTTGTAAGCCATGTGTATTTAGAATAATTATAGAGTTCCTTTTGGTCTTGTTTATGGCACACTTTCTTTTTCATGTAAATGCCTTTTATTCTTGATCTTTTCCTTTGTGGATTATGAGGTTCATGGTCTCAACAGGAAGACTCTCACGATGCCAGAATTACAAAAAATAAAAATAAATAAATAAACCCTTCCTATTTTACTTCTAGCACTATTTCATTTTGTTTACACTTAAGTATTTGAACCAACTGATGTTTGAAAACAGAAGTACCCAGCTTCCACTTTTTCCAAATGTCTAACCAGTTGTCACAAGTGCCTTTAATAAATAATGTAGTCATGTTGGGGGAGGGGAGTATAAGGGGACTATATGGTAATGAAACAATGCAGTAAAGATTAAATAAACAATAAAGAATGTGTCCCTGGGCATTGAATTTGCTGTGATTGTCGATGTCTTATCCCCAAAATAACGCCACCTCCCTAAGAACAGAGACTGTGTCTCTTGGATTCCCCATGGCTTCCAGTAACGCTAAGCACATCTGTGGTGGTCAATTCATGCGTGGTGATAAATTAGGGAGCCGTGGTGTCAACTTCAGAGGGAGACAGTAGAATGAGTGGGCTGTGCCCGGAGTTGTCTGCACAGTGGTTGGGTCAGGCAGGAAAACCGTTTTTCCCCTGTGCCTGTTGCAATGCATTAGTCACCCTCTCCTCACCCCCAGAAAACCAAAGAGGGCCAGATAAAAACTGGGGCTATTTATGTCACAGCTAACACAGGGTTTACAGCTGACCCCCAGATTTACTTGAATGCCTAGCTCAGAGGTCAGCAAACTACTGCCCGGGGCCACCCCACCTGGGGCCCATTTTTGTAAGGGAAGTATGACTGGAATGCAGTCCTGTCCATCGGTTACTATTATTGTCTCCCGATGCTTTTGTGCTACAATGGCTGAGTTGAGTAATTGTGACAACAGGCTTTATATTTATAAGACCTAATATGGGGGGGGAGGGGGCGGGTGGTGAAAGTAAGTTAAATTACCAGCCATTATTACCTGAAAGATAAATCATAAGTAAGGATATGACATAATAACCATAAGAGGACAAGTAATACAAATAAGAATAGAAAATAAATAAGACAAATAAATACAAATAATACAATAGTAATAAATAATAATATAAGAATAAACTGTTTCACATACAACTGTAAAACTACTTTTGCCCACCCCTGTATTTACTATCTGACCTTTTACAAGAGTTTGCTAACCCCCAATTGTTAACAGTTATAATTTTATCATTCAGATATTATGGAAAATAAATCACAATAGAAAGAAGTATCTTTTTGTTGTTGTTGCTGTTTTGGTCCTACATGGGATAAAAAGAAAAGAGTTTCCAAGTCTACTGGATTCACTGATTTCACATTGCCAAGTCCTTGGCTGGAGGAGTTTTATACCAAGTTCCCCACAGGTCACTCGGCGTTCAAAGTCATGACTCCGTTTTTACTGGTTTCTCCACGCCGCCTTACCTTTTGCGTAAAGACAATTTGTATGAGTTGTTTCTAAGGGTGTGTTGTTTTCTTTTATGAACAAGAGTAAATCGTTCATACCTATACTCCAGCACACTCTCTCCAGGCTAGAGGACCTGAACTTCCCACAGCAGACAGGTCCAAGTACTAGAAGACTAGGTCTAGGTCAGGATTTCCCAATATCCATGCAACTGACATTTGGGCAAATAATTCTTTGTTGTGGGAGGCTGCCATATGCATCCTGGTATGTTTAGCAGTACACCTGGTGTCCGCCCACTAGATGTGACTGACACTGCACCCCAACCCCTGACAGTGATACCAGAAATGACTCCAGCCATTGCCAAGGGCCCCCTGTGGGCTGGAATTGCCTCCATCTCAGAAGCACGGGTCTCGAGATCTAGAGTCCACTCTCGACTCCAAGTGTGGTCTGTAGACCAGCAGCGTCAGCCTCACCTGGAAGCTCGTTAAAAATGCAGAAGCTCAGGCTCCTCCCCTGAACTACTGAATCCAAACCTGAAGTTGATCAAAATCCGCCCTAGCTGGTGTGACTCAGTGGACTGAGCAACGGCCTGCGAATCAAAGTGTCTCCAGTTCTCTCCTCAGTCAAGGCACAGGCCTGGGTTGCAGGCCAGGGCCCCAGCAGAGGGCGTGCAAGATACAATCACGCATTGATGTTTCTCTCCCTCTCCTCCCTCCCTTCTCCTCTCTAAAAATAAATAAAATCTTTTTTTTAAAAAATGAAACTGATCAAAACCTCCCAGCTGACTCATTAGCGTTTGAGGAACTCTGGTCTAGGCCTTTGAGGGGGTAGCACCACGGCGGCGTGCTCCTCGCCGCCCTGGGAAAGAGCCGTCATTGTGCTTCATCCGACCCAGCCTGTGTCAAATTTTTGAGCCCATACCTGCCCCGGGACTGTGTTAGGAGACAGTGCAGTGTCCTGGGAAGAGCGGGGCTTTGTCATCGGACATACCTGGGTTCAAAAGGAGGGTCTTCCTCTGTGTTCTGGGGAATCATTTAATCAGGTCAGTGCCCTCGTTTTGAAAAATCGCTGGTTTGTACTTCAGAACAGGAAGGCCTTCTGAGCACGTTAATGACGAAAAATCAGCACCTCTTTAGTTTCAAGTTTTTCAAAGACTTTATTTTATATGAGTTTCTACACAGAGAATAAAATCGCAAAGGCGGCATGTTTCCGTCTAACAGGACTACACCTGGAATTGCTTCCTCTGTCCAGGAAATTCCCAATTAGTCAAACCTGCCTCCGTTGACATTGAAGGCAGACCTGAAAAGTACCACCAGGTGGCGCCAACACCGCTTTATTAGATACAGATGGCCAAGCAGTTTGTTGCCCATCAACATAATTACCCCCAAATTTAAAGTTCCTAATGGGTGTATCGAACGAAAACTGCTGGAAGGCGAGCTTTAGCCAAAGAGGAGAGCAGATATAAAGGCATGGCTGGCCCAGGTGGATTCAGGGAGTAGGCTTGGGGAGTGAGGACCCCAGACCCCCTTGTAGGAAAGGAAGTCAGGAAAGGGATAAAAGTAGAGAATTTCTAATAAGGCCCAGATGTTAATGTTATTTTATCCTTATGTGATGTCCTTAACAATCACCGTATTCAGAAGGCTTAGCCACCACTATGCCTCTCACACACTCAGCTATGGTATTAGAGTGGCTTTTCAGTTACTAAGTAGAATTGACACTTGGGTATCAACAGCATCGACTCTTGGACAAACGGGCGACAAGAATCTGAACGAGAGTGGGGGTCAGTGAGCAAGAATCTTCCTAGAATTGATTCAGCTTCCAAGGTAACTTGATATGAAGACACGGGTGCCTGGAGGGGGAACAGAAGATCTTCAGTCTGCAAATGGCCAGCCCCAACGGTAAAACCAAAATGGACCATATCTTGTAAATGTAAGGATCATGGCTTCCTCCAAA